CGCGAGTCGACAATCAGATCATCTTTGACTTCATGCTCAACATCATCATTGTCGTCGTCATCTTCATCATCAGTACCATCCAAAGAATAGCTGCCACCATAATAGCTGCCACCATCACCATGGCCATACAACCCTCATAATTAAGCATTGTAGTTCATGTCTGATGCGCAGATAGCTGCTCTCCTCACGGAGCAGGGGTTGGGTACCATAAGGGGTCATAGGGGGTGGGGGCAGGGGTGGGGCGACACCCCCTGCTGCGGAGCGGTGTGGGTGAGGGGAGGTTACCATGACCACGGGGGCGGGGGGTGGGGGAGACCATTGGGGGGGCAGGGCGGGTGGTGGCCCGGGACCCGAGAGAATATAGATATATATATATATATTATATGCATACTTACGGCTATATGTATACTGGGTAACGTATATTATATATATATATATATACAGATATATGTAGAGGTAGATTAGGTTAGGCTAGAGTAGATTAGATTGGTTGATGTATAGATAGATACATAGATAGATAGGTAGATACATAGACAGATAGATAGACAGATCGACAGATAGATAGGTTTACAGTTAGATCTGCTATATGATGTCTATATTATATATATATATATAGATAGACATAGAAGCTCTTTCTGGATCAGCTGCATCCGCGTGCTTTCCGCTTCCAGTTCTGGGTTTGCCGTCCGGCGGCCTGTCTAACAAGCTACGAGGATACGACGAACATGGCATGGCCCTAGATTATTCCAAAGCAACTCTCCGTGGCTTCACTTCGAAGTGCGGAGCGCCAGGGATTCAAAAAAATATGACAGCAGAACAAGCCGGCTGTGACAGCGGAACTTGACTAGCTTCGCATGTTTAGCACTCTTGCAGGATTCAGCAGGCACTTAGGTCGAAGAAATGCTCCCAAGCACACTCGCGAAAGCACTTTGGGCGCAGGCCTGAGGCTCAATCCTAGTCCTAATTTATAGGTGGGCAGAAGTGACAACCAGGTCCTGGCCTCTCCGCACCCTCGAGCCCTTTTGCGCACTGCACACGGGATGCACTCGGCATGAGGGCAAGTTCGACGTCAATTCCTAAACCCTACACCCCATCAACCCTAAACCATATAAATCCTAAACCCTATAAATCCTATAGATCCTATAAACCCTAAACCATGTAGTCCTAAAAATCCTAAACCCGATAATCCTATAAATCCTAAAGCCTTTAAATCCTATAAATCCTAAACTCTATAAACCCTAATTAAGGCTAAGGGTTCCGACCTGCCGTGTACCCTCCCACCAGCCAGGCAGGGAACCTGGGCCAGGAGGCCGGGAAAGTCGTTCAGGTTATAGTATATTGCTACATACTATAGTATAGTATACTATATTGTTTGGAATAAGGCTTGTGGGTATCTGATAGTATGACTACATAATCGTATACTATAGTATAGTATACTATACTAAAGTATAGTATACTATAGTATAGTATACTATACTATAGTATAGTATACTAAAGCATAGTATACTATAGTATAGTATACTATATTGTTTGGAATAAGGCTTGTGGGTATCTGATAGTATGACTACATAATAGTATACTATAGTATGGTATACTATATTATAGTGTACTATATTATAGTATACTATATTATATATTATATAATATTACGCTAAATCAAGGCGTCTTTCGATTTGAGCCTTTGGTTGTGGTGCGCTTGGTTTCGTCGATGCAACCCGGCGAGTCGTTTCGGACTTCGGCCCCATGGAAGCATGAAGCCCTGGATCACGAAGCATTCAGGAGCTAGCCTCATCTCTTCCCAGCACCGAAATCCCCAATTATCCTTGCCCCCACACTGACGAGGCAGCCCGGCTGCTGGCGAATCTGCAGACGGCTGCAGCACCAAAAAAAAGACAAGAAATTTCGTGAGGTTTTATGTCGGTGTCTCAAAATTCGGAAGATGTAGTCGAAGATCCTGGAGACAAACTTTGTTTCAGTCTGCGAGTTATCCTCAGTCTTTGGACAGTACTTTGCGTGCCCATGCCAGTACAGCACCGCGTTCTTCCAGTATCGTGTTTTTGTGTGCATACACCGCGACCACTCGCAACTGACATTTGCGCAGTGTGCAAGGTGAGGAGACACGGTCATCAACGAAGATAGACGGTCAGACCAAGATGTCCAGAGTTTAGATCGGAGATTGAAGTCAAGGATTTGCTGGCAAGGCGTGAGAATTTCCCTCGGCTGTGTTTAGGCGAAGCGGTGGAATAGGTTTCTTGCCGAGACCAGCAGAAGGCTTCGAGAATCCTGCGACTAGTCTTGCCTTGTCAGAAGAGCTTCTCAGAGAGTCAGGCTAGACTCTAGACTCAACAGTGCAACGGAATGCACGGTTAGAAAGCCCTTAAGACACCAGGTCTCTAGGCAGCTTTGCAGATCAAGCCAGCACAACGGTGTGGCCTCGTAGCCTGAGGGGCATGCGGCTTGTCCCAATGGCCCGGGAAGGGCCGAGATGCCGACGGAACTGGAGCACGCAGTGGCTTTCACTTCTGGGGGATGCTGACATGAAGCTCCATGCAGGAAGCTGCGCGTCAGCATGGACCGGTCAGCTTTACCAGTACCCATGACTGGCGGAACGGGCTGGCATTGCTGCTTATCCTTAGTTCTAGCTCTATCGAACAGCATATTGCGACGTATGGGGCAGCAGTCAGTGCATGCCGGAAAACGGACACGTGGACGCCGGCCCTGACAATACTAGGAGAGCTGGGCAGATCTGCTCTCCAGAGATCTGTCATCACATACAATTCAGCCATCACCGTTTGCTCTGAAGTGTCTTGGCCGCGAGGGCTCTCGCTTGTCGCAGAGGTTTGCGCACAGAGCTTGCAACTGAGTGCACAGTCAACCGGAGCAGCACTATCTTCATGCATTCTTGAGGATCGGTGGAAGGGCGCGATTCAGCTGCTGGAGTGGTTCCATGTTTTGGGTATCGAAGCAGGCACCATTCCGCTCAATTCCGCCATGAGCATATGCAAGCACCCAGGAGGATGGCAAATGGCAAACCACATCGTCAGCAGCATCTACGCCCAAAGCCTTGAGGCATCGTCCATCACGTATAACACTTGCATGAGCGTGTGCTCCCAAGGTGGTCAATGGCAAATGTCCTGTGTGCTCTTCAGCAGGATGATGGTCAGTCGTCTCGCAGGAACTGTGGTCTCTTACGGTGCTTTACTGGAAGCTAAGAGCCTTTCTTGCTGGCGCCATGTCTTGGCTTTGTTCTCGCAGCTCGGAACGTCAGGTTTAGAAGCCAACATCGTCACCTCCGCTGCTGTTATCAGTGGTGAGATCAAGGGACAATGGCAACGTGCATGTGCATTGCTTACAGGGTGTACCGAAAGACAAATCCGAATCAACTTGACGGCCTTCAATGCCGTCATCAGCGCCTGCGAGAAAGACCGTCGATGGGAAGCGGCAATGCATCTCTTGGAAGAACTGCAACTCGAGCGGATACGAGCGGACATCATCTCCTACAACGCAGCAATAAGTGCTTGCAACGCAGGCGGGATGTGGCAGCAGGCGCTTGCTTTGCTTGTGCTTCTGGATGCCCGTATGATTCGCGCCGACGCTGGGCCGTCTCTAAGGAAGATATAAAGACCATGGGTTGATTGCATCATGCATCAGTATACACACATATATGGTACAGTTGCCACCCCCCCCCCTCCCCGCCTGCCTCCCCCACCTTCTGCAATGGTATGGTACGATGCCCTTGCCTGTCTCACGCTCCACAATGCTGTGATGCCCCCGCGTGAGTGGATGGGTGAGTGGGTTCGGGGTTGGGCTAAGGGAAAGATGCCAGCTGTTCTGGCTTCATCCCACATCCCCTGGTTCTGACTTTCATCCCTCGCTGTTAGAGGATGTAGGCAGGTGTGTTCTTCGTTCGGATTGCCAGTCTCGACATGTTCAACATTCAACAGTGACCAGTGACGAGAATCGAAACACTACGGCTGTTGGTACTGTTGAGACGCCACAGTCGCAAAACATCGAATCAAGATCCGGAGACAGCAACTGTTGTGCGTAATGAATGTTCCAGTGTCTGTTGACCTTCTGAACGTGATACAAAGATCCCAACCCAACACCAGTTTCAAGGATTTCAGGCCCAACACCGGCCACTGTCACGCAGATTCCGCGCTCGCCTCCAGACGATGGGAGGGCGGCAGGGTGGGGGCCTGGGGGACCACTGACACGGCGACGCGGCACCATACATGTCTATCTGTCTATCGACCTATCTATCTATCTATCTGAATCTATCTATCTATCTTTATCGATCTATCTACACAGCATCCCAGGATCGGATTACATACAATGCTGCCATCAGCGCTTGCGAGAAGAGCCAGGAATGGCGACAAGCATTGATTCTTCTTGGGCAAGCGGAGCGGCAGAGCCTACCGGCTGAATCAGGCATGTTGGTTGCTCGCTGTGTTGTGCTGGTATACGCACTGTACCGCTACTGTGCTCGAAATTCGAGAGCCTTTTGAATTGTCAGTGACCACTGGGTGCAGCGAAGACACCATTAGGCAGCTTTAAACAAAGTCGCTCGTGGAAGCGTTGCACACGTACCGATTTGTTGCTCTGCAAATGACAGTATAAGCTCCAACATCATTCAGGCCTCCGCTCTAGTCTAGGTTTGCAAAACATGATGACTGTCCGAGGAATGCAGCTGGGCATCATAAGCTACAACGCAGCGATCAGCGCCTGCGATAAAGGTGCCCCTGGCTCCTTGCTGTGGGTCAATTTGGGAAGCCTCTATCAACTACAGACGAGAATCGATGTTACAAGAGGTACCAAGATTTTCCCGGGGCTTGAGGTGAACCTCATGAGGCCATTAGGTCCTTTCACCTGCAAAGCCGCCAGGTGGACAATGGGAGCTGGCGCTGCATTTACTCTACAAGGCTGTCTGGAAACGCGTCGTGGCAACAGTTGGTACCAGGAGTAGCACAAGGAGCAGTAGCTGATGGTAGTGGTGGTCGGAGTAGTAGTAGTAGTAGTAGTAGTAGTAGTAGTAGTAGAAATAGTAGTAGTAGTAGTAGTAGTAGTAGTAGTCCTCTCAAGAGCACATCCGTTTTACTCGGTATTTACAGTACGTTCGTCGTGTCATACCACTTCTTCTTGCCTCGAAATCCACGCCGTGACTTTGGCAAATTCGGCTTTGGATCGGGGTTGGGAGGGGGCATACCGGCAGCCTGAGACGGCAAAAGAGCAGTTTTATTCGGTATTTATTTACAGTACTTTCGTGATGTCGGACCATCTTATATTGTCAATATTGTCACCAAGCCTACTTCTGGACTTCACGGACTTGACCTTGGGATTTCGGACGGCTTTCGGCGAAAACTCGAAATTAGGTGGGGGGAAGCTTTTCGGGGATGATCACGACACTGTTTCGCGGACACCCCGAACAATATCTCCGCACCCTAGCGCGCACACACCACACACTACTTCAAAAGCAAACCCTCCTACGCCGAGGTCTGGGCTTTAGGGGTGTTGGCGAGCCCCTCCCATGGGCATCTTTGTTTTTGATGTTTATAAGGTGTTGCGCTTCAGGTTTTAGGAGTGATAAAACCTTGTTTGCATCATTTTGCAAGGTATTTACAGCGTTTTCGTACTATCCGACCACCTGTGGCTTAGCAGTTTCGTCCCCGTCGAATTTGCAACTCCAGCTGCTGTCGCAGTTTTGGGGCCTGAGCCTCTGCAACTTCACCAGCTGTGACAGTTAAGGCAAGTGAGCCTTTGCAAGTTGTGCAGCTGTCACGGATGGGGAGCCTGAGCCCCTTCATCTGCTGCAGCTGTCGCAATTTGGGAGCCTCGAAGTTGCCACTGCCCAGCCCGGATGGAGCAAGTGGTTGGTAGG